GCAGCGGCCGGCGGGCGGGCGGACGAGCTCTCGCTCCCGCGCTCACTCGCTCTTTGCTCCGAGGAAGCCAAGCTGGTAAACCCGGGCAGTCAACCCTCCAAGATGAAAAAGCTCCAGGGAGCTCACCTCCGCAAGGTAGGGCACGAGGGGAGTGCGGCGCCTTGGGTCTAGAGGGGCCCTCCGGCATGGAGGCCCCTGGGGAGGGTCGAAGGGTCCCCAAACCTTTCAGGACTCTGCTGAAGGCTTGGCTTAACCGGATTACGGGGAGGGGCGGGGTCTTTTTCTGCACCTCCACCCATTGCCCTCTGAGGGTCGCCGTGTGGTGAGCTGGGACCCCAGGTTCACCGAACCAGGCCCTGCGAACAGGTGTCTGCAGCCCCAGGAGGTAGGAGTGTCTGGGGCAGGCATGGCCTCACCTTGCCTCAGTCCCTTCTGCTTCCGCAGGGGCCAAATGCCTGCTGGGGGAAAAACCTAGCACCAGCCTTGAGCTAAACTAATTTGGGGTGGGGTAAGGGCCTGGTCCTTATCTGTGTGCTCTATACTGAAGCAGCCTCTGCCGCCCTGCTAGGGACCCCCCTACCCCACACACAACCTTCAGTATGCACCGATGGCTCACTCCTGCTTCCTCTTCCCTTCTCAGTACCCCCAGGTCGCCCCTCAGCAGGGCTGAAGGGAGGCAAAGATAGGAGGGGAGACTGGGAGACCTAAGAATGTGGGGGGTGGAGGAGGTGGAGGTTGGGATGAGCCAGGTGCCAGGCGCAGACTGGGCCCCTCCGCACCTTGCCTGGTGGGGCTTGGACCTCCAGCCAAGTTGTGGGGTGGGGGTATGGTGGCAATGTCCTTGGCTTTTGGCTTAGAAGTACCAGCCCTGGAAGGAATCAGACTCCCGGTACCTATTTCTCTAACTGCCACTTGCCCTGTGACTCTGGACAAGTCTGATCTTTAACCTGAACCTCCGATGCTGACCCTTCCACAGTGTGGAGGCACCGAAGCAGATCCCAGGGTGGAACCGGGGTTGGGGGCAGGAAT